TCTAAAGCCGTTTTTAATTAAGTTTTTAATTAATTCTGAGCCTCCGTTTGGGAAGTGGGTTGGCTTTTTGGCTTTTTTGGCTATTTTAGCCTAGGCTAAAAAGTTTGGTTTGGGAAGGGCTTTTTGACTTTTTGACTTTTTTGGCTTTTTTTGTGAGAGAAGAATGTAATGATTATGGGTTGGATGTGATATTTTGTTTTTTGTGGCTAAAATAGCCTATTTTGTCTTTTGTGGCTAAAATAGCCAAAAAGCCCCGTTTAGCTCTTGCCAAACGGAGCCTGAATTAATCAAAAACGGTTTTGGTAAAACCGTTTTTCACATTAATTTTTTTTGTAATTTATATTTTTAACATAAATATTTTTTGTTCAAAATTTTTTTTTAATAAAAATCGGTTTTAGGAAAGCCATTTTTTGACAAATTTTTATTTTAATTAAAAATGGAGCAAGAAAAGCCATTTCATTATACACAAAACCTCCCCTTCTCCCTTGCACTTACGAAAGCCGTATTTGACTCATCTTCTTCTCCCTCACTCAGTCGAACTCCGAAGGAAGACCGACGACGAACAACGCAGGAAGACCGACGACGAACAATGGCCAAGAGTAACCACCAGCAAAACGAGGAACACCTGCATCAAACACCCATATTCAGGTTTGTATCGCATAAATTAGGGTTTTCATTTTAGATTTGAGATTTTAAATTTCGAAATTAGAGATTCAGATTTCGGATTTTATATTTCGAAATGAGGGTTTGTAAACTTTTCATTCAACAACGCAAGAATTTTTTGTATAAATTCTGCGTTGTTTGCAAACCCCTTTCTCTCGTCAGTTGCTTCATTAGTTGTGGGTAGAACCATTATTTTCATTCACCCTCCGTTTGGCTTCTTGGAAAACCCAAGAGAAAGAAAAGGAAAAGATCAAGATTTCCATTGTTTTGCTTGCTAATATGTTTACTTGAGTGGGCTTTATTTATTTTATTTATTTTTCTGTTCTTCTTGTTCTTTTTTATGTTAATTTTTTTTATATTATACTTGAATTTTTTTTCTTATTTTCTCATATTTTCTCTGCAATCTAACACAGCATATCTATATTTTTTAGCTGTTTAGTTAGAAGATTAACCAATTTCATGTGTCATTACTCTGTCTGGACTATCATTAATTAAACTTGTTAATAATGTCTACTTAACTTCTCAAGGAAAACCTGAAATTTCCTATAATTTCTATTTAAAGTTGCTACTTTCTTTTTTGAACTTGTATTTTCTTTTTTCTCCAATTGTCACATGGCTGCTCCAATGTAGCATTTCTAGAAAAGGGAACCATCACCATTTTTTAATAGCTTTTTGGTTTTTAATTTTGTTTGATGAGCTTACATGGTTTCTTCTGTCAATGAATTTTGAGTTAATTTTGGGGTGATAGATAAGTTTTGATTGCTTTCTTGTTTTGAGTATGCCTTTGGCATGTAATAATATTCCCAAAATTGCTTTGTTTGTTTGTGTCTGTGTGTGTGTAGAGAGTCTTGTTATCCCATGATTTGACGCATCCCTTGAAATGTGCTAATTTTTTGTATCAATGGTGAGGTTTTGGTTATATGCAACTTATTGTTTGCTGAGTTTTCACAAAACATCATAGTGTTTTATTTTTCTTTTACAAATACTATGATCTCCAAAATTTTATAAGAATTGCTATTCTTCTGTTGATATTAATGCCTCTTGTCTACTGAATCCGTTACTGTCTGAAAAGTTACCTAGATTGTTCAAGTGGTTGATATTAAAGAGCTAGGTGTTATTGACTTTATTGCATGTACTGCAGTCTGCATGTACAGTCCTGAGATGTTAATGTGTGAGAAACAATCTTCTATAGGAAATCTTAATTTGTTATGCTCAATTGCTAAGCTCTATCTACTAATTAATGAGATTTTCTTTTTCTTTTATGTTCCAACATAATGATAGTGAACTTGGTTACCGTTACTAGTTTTCCATGCTATTTCTTCTAACCTCAAGTTGATAGATATTAGGTTCACTGATTTTGACCTTTATAGTTATTAATAATGATTATGATTTTAATGGATTAGAGAAGTTAAAATGATTTATTGAGGACCAAATAACGAATCAATACTCAAGTCTCAACCAACTATTGATGGAGATCATGGATTTGATCGGTACAAGCACACCAACAAGTTTGTGGATTCAATTAGAGTTGTTTTGTAAGTTGTAATTTATATTTTGTTCTTTATAGTGGATTGGCTGATTGGACTAGGTCCTGTGGTCTTTTCCAGATGGGTTTTCCATGTTAAAATTCATGAGTCTCTGTTTGTGTGATTGATTTATTTTTATGCTTGCAATTTACATTGAATGATTAAATTAATTAACCAAACACCACCAAAGCAATCCATATCAACGAATAAAATTTTTGATTTTTATTTTTGGGTTTTCCATTATTTTTTGTCTTCATCTATTTTTGATTTTTTAAAGATTTTAATTAAAAATCTATTTATTTTGATGCACCTAGTCTTGAGGAACATTGAGTTATTGTCTCTTGCTGCATTTTGCATGAGGTGGCGGCTTTGATCCTTTATGGAGTTTGATTTCCTCTTGTTCTTGTTGATTAATGCATTATATTATTTAAGAATGGAGATTATACATTTTGGACATTTTATTATGCTAATTTGTAACGAGATTATACATTTTGTTACTGATGTTACACAATTTTATGGTAAAACCATATTTTTGTGATAGAGTGCAACCCTTTAGGGCCAGATATATAGATACTAAGGTAAAATGCCCATGCCTTGCACAGGGTTACAGATACTATTGTGATAAATTTAAATTTAAGAAATACATACATTGTAATAGAGTTTAGAATTTTTTTTTTTAAAAAAAATGAGCTTTTATTTTTGTCTTCATCTATTTTTGATTTTTTTAAGATTTTAATTAAAAATCTATTTATTTTGATGCACCTAATATAAATATACTTAAAATTTTAATATTTATGAGAAGTCTGAAAAAAATTTCACTAAAAAATAAAAAATATGAAAAACTGCTTATTTTTTCTTATTTTTATTTTTAGTAAGCTTTTTTTTCTTTTTTTCTTTGTTTGTTGTTAATTTTGGCTAGTACTTTGTTCGGTGGTACTGTCTGGGTATGCATATGTGATGTCAAACTTGGGTTATAAATTGATGTTAAAGAAATCAAATGTTGTTATTAAAATGTGCTAATTTTCCCGTCTTCTCTAATAGGATCAAAATTTCGTTTCCGTACGTTCTTTCGGTTAGGTTGGAAATGAAAATAGAATTGGAAACTTTTCAAACTTTTCGAAAACATGAGAAATAACAAAAGGATTTGAAAGTGTATGAAAATATTTAGGAAAAAAAAAAACTTTTATTGATGTTAATAAATTCTCAATAGTTAATTACTTGAACATAAATTCTCAAAAGACCCATGCCTAAAGGCATTACTGTGTAATATATGTGGTGTTGGCTCTCAAATGTTCTTACTTTATTATTTAGAAATAATTGAGTTACTTTGAATGCAAAGTGTAGATATGGAAGTTGTGAGCATTATGTTCTATTGGGGTGGAAAGATTTTGCGCAATCGCGATGAAGGTGTGTCATACGACATCGAACCTCAGGGGTTGTATAATGTGCATAAGGGGATAACATTGGCCGAGTTGCAGGCTATGATGGTGCCGAAGGTTGGTACGCATGGGGAAATAATGCGATTAGAGTTTAAATGTAGACTCTCATGTCAGGGGAAGTATAAGTTGCTGCCAATCAAAGATAATGAGACCTTAAGTAATGTGTTAGAGCTCCCACGTAAATTAGGCCCTGATTATTTTTTGGAAATCTATGTGGAGAATGAGAGCAATTTTGGTGGCACAGAGATGCCAATTCCGGTGGGTGGGACATTCACTCAAATGTTGACACAATCGCAATCCCCTGACAATACACTTATACAGTCTGCACACATGTTCCCTGAAGATTACCCTCCATTCAATCATTCTCAGAGTTACAATCAATTAAATGCATCACAGAACCTAGATGGTTATTACAGTGCCGGAGCAGGTCCAAGTGCTCCGACAACGTATAATCCGATGGTTCTTATAACCCCATATCCCCACTGGAATGAAGAATGTCCACCGGTTTGTAATGTTCAACGTACACCAGAGACGGCTGTACAAAATTATGCATACTCCGATGATACAGTGCCATTGTTTGACGAGGTTAGAGTAAGTGATGAAGATTCCGTGGAAGATTTGGATGGCGCATGGGAAGGTGCGGACAATGACTCCGGTGATGACGAAGTTGGAGGGCATCATGATATGCAGGAGGTACACACAAATGTTCATATCCCTTTCTACCATAATTTGCATTTCGACAATGATGGTTCCATTACTAACTGTGATGTTGTCGAATGTTGGCCATTGTGGGACTTCAAAACTGCTAATTTGGAGAAAGGAATGATATTTATTGATAAGAAAAGACTAGTGCACGCTGTTCAGTTGTATAACCTGAAGTGCAATCGAGAATGCAAGGTCGTAGAATCCAAAGGAAACAGTTGGGTGGCCGGGTGCAAGCACGGCTGCAAGTGGAGGGTTCGGGCAACGAAGTTGAAAGACAAAGATTTCTTTCAAATTAGAAGGTTCGAAGTGCCGCATCAATGTGTATACCCTAGAATGAATAGGGACAATTGCAACCTCAAGTCCGAGGTCATTGCTCATTTCATCAAGGCACAAATTGCGGTAAGTGTCATGCTAGATACATTATTGTTTTTAGGATTTCATTATGACTATAATGTATTCAAATATAATGTATATTTGCAGATATCACCAGAATTGCCTCTTGCTACCATAATTGAGGTCGCGAAGGAGAAGTTTCAGTTCACTATATCATATAAGAAAGCGTGGCTTGCAAGGACGAAGGCAGTTGCAATGGTGTTTGGTGATTGGGACGAGTCGTACCGAAGGTTGCCTAGATTGGGACGAGTCGTACCGAAGGTTGCCTAGATATATGGCTGCATTGCAGGCATTCAATCCAGGCACAGTTGTCATGTGGGACATGATTCCGAATTTGCACTCTACCTCAATCGGAACTGAAATGTACATGAACTATGTGTTCTGGGCATTTAAACCTGCAATAGAAGGCTTCAAGTATTGTCGTCCAGTGATATGCATTGACGGCACACACTTGTACGGGAAATACGAAGGGAAGATTGTTGCGGCCACTGCAGTGACTGCTGCGGACAAGATTGTACTTCTTGCCTTTGCCGTTGTTGACAAGGAGGTGATCGAGAGTTGGGGTTGGTTCATTACTCTGCTTAGGCGACATGTGTGCCGTGACCGAGAGGGGGTCACATTGATATCCGATCGACACACAGCTTTGCTTAGTGTCGTGTCAAGAATTTGGGACAATCCAGCAGTTCAACCAAGAGGATACCATAGGTATTGCTTGCGACACGTATGTAGCAATCTCAATGAAAGATTCGGCAATACAGTAGCGAGGGATCTTGTGTGGAGAGCTGGTTCTGCACGGCAAGTGCTGAAGTTTAACAAGATTATGAACGATATCTACAAGCTCGAGAAGAATGCTGAACGGTGGTTTAGACGGATGGACCCTATTCATTGGACATTGTGCCATGATGGTGGTTGTCGTTGGGGCATATTAACGACAAACCATATAGAGGGCTTCAATGGTGCACTGAAAGGCGCATGCAGTGTTCCCATTACAGCATCAGTTGAGATAACTTTTTATCGGCTCGTGAAATATTTTGACGAGGGCAGGACCATTGCTGAAAATGCGAGCCATCGGGGTCACTTGTACACGGCTAATGTTCAACGATGGATTGACGAGCACCAAGCTAAAGCGAATGTGCATATGTTGGTACCGATTAATAGATAATTTTTATTGGATGCACCGAATTCGCTACACATTAACATTTCGCACTCGTCGATCATTGATGTTAGTCTATATTTAAATATATATGCATATTAATCCACGTACATACATTTTTCCTGCAGGGGAATAGGGGAATATGAGGTGAGGACAGCACCGCATGGGATGGGGGGTGGTGCTCGTCAAATAGTTAGTCTCCGACCACCGAGTTGTTCATGTGGGGAGTACACATTATTTCACTTGCCATGTTCCCACATGCTTGCTGTGACTGCAGATTTGGGCGAGGACCCTTTTCCTTTCGTTGCACCAGAGTATAGGTTGGAAGTCCACAAGCGTATCTTCGCGCAGAAGTTTAGGCCCATGTCGCACGAGCACTATTGGCCTGACAATGATTACCCAACTTTGCTTGCTATTCCAGCTCGACAACGTGAAGTTAAAACGGGTCGTCCTCAACATAGCCGCATACACAACGAAATGGATACTTCCAGACAAAGTGGATTGCACCATTGTAGTTTGTGTTTGCAAAGAGTGCATGATAAGAGAAAATGTCCAGCGAGAATCCGCTCAATTCGACAGTAGTTGTTTGTCTTCTTTACATATTAGTTCCACGCTACTTTCTTTGAATTGGAGTCAATGTAATATTCAATGAATCAGTATTCAGTAAATTCATAATGTATTTACGACTTCAATTACTAATGGCATAGATTTGGTCAAATGTGGCAAATCTCTTCAATTGCTTTAGTTGTTGCAAGTGTCCTTTGTGCACTGGATTGTGCAGACTTTGGTGCGTTGATGGTCGATTGTGTCCTGACCTCGATGGACACGAGTTTATCTAATGTTAGAAAAATGCAAATATTCACAGAATGAATTGATAATCACCAATATAAATGCAGTTTATATTCAATGTGTGTTTTGCCACATTTTGTTATGTGGGAAACTAATTTTTTTAAAATCTTTTTTCCAAAATCCATTACGTCGGTGAAGGCCCATTTTATGAATTCAATCATTTCTCGGACATTTACTACGTATTCGTATATGCTTAGTTCTTGTAAAAAGTTTGACTAATGTATTTCAAATCTACATAAAACTGTCTTCAAACCTTCGTACTTCTTTCCTGTCCAAATGACAACTCCTTTAAAGTGAAAGCACGTTTTTTCATGTCATACAGGTTGACGTGACAACACACTGACAATAACTTTAATCACATAGGTACCATGTGAATCTTATCTCCTATGACAATAATGTCAAATGAATTACTAATCACCAATATAAATGCATGTCATATTTAATGCGTTGTCACATTTTGTTACGTCGTGAATTGTTTTTTTAGTTTCCAAACATTCATTACGTGAGGGAAGACCATTTTATCAATTCAATCATGTGTTTTAAATTTAGTACATATTGGTAAATGCTTAGTTGTTCTAAAAAGTTTGAGTAATGGATTTGAAATCTACTTAAAGCTGGGTTTTCATGTCATAATTTTGGCGTGACAACGCGCTGACAATATCTTTAAACTCACAGGTACCATGTGTACCTTATCTCCTATCACAATAATGTGAAATGAATTACTAATCACCAATATAAGTGCATGTAATATTCAATGCGTAGCCACATTTTGTTAGGTGATGAACTGTTTTTTAGTTATGCAGATGGATTGTCAAGTCATGTGACTTGGTGCACAGGCTTTGGGTTTCTCAATTTTTTGCTCGATTTTTTATTGCAGTGACAACTCATCTCTTATTGATATATGTGGGATTCTCAATTCAGAAACTCACATGGCAACAGTGAATTCACTGATTTACCTTACAGTGAGCATGCCCTTATTTTGTCCGTATATGCAGATGGATTGTTAAGTCATGTGACTTGGTGCACAGGCATTGGTTTTCTCAATTTTTTGCTTGATTTTTTTATTATAGTGACAACTCATCTCTTATTGATATATGTGGGATTCTCAATTCAGAAAGTTACATGGCAACAATGAATTCACTTATTTACCTTACAGTGAGCATGCCCTTATTTTGTCCGTATATGCAGATGGATTGTCAAGTCATGTGACTTGGTGCACAGGCTTTGGGTTTCTCAATTTTTTGCTCAATTTTTTAATTACAGTGACAACTCATCTCGTATTAATATATGTGGGATTCTCAATTCAGAAACTCACATGGCAACAATGAATTCACTGATTTACCTTATAGTGAGCATGCCCTTATTTTGTCCGTATATGCAGATGGATTGTCAAGTCATGTCACTTGGTGCACAGGTTTTGGTTTTCTCAATTTTTTGCTCAATTTTTTAATTACAGTGACAACTCATCTCTTATTGATATATGTGGGATCCTCAATTCAGAAAGTCACATGGCAACAATGAATTCACTGATTTACCTTACAGTGAGCATGCCCTTACTATGTTGGTATATACAGATGGATTGTCAAGTCACGTGACTTGGTACACAGTATTTGCTTTACTCTGTTTTTTCATTCTAGTAACAACTCATACCTTGTTCGTATATGTGGGATTGTCATGCAGAGGCATCTTTCTAAAGCCGTTCATAACCAACTATATAAACGACTAAAGGTGAAGACACAACCTTGCAACTCATTTTGCCCTACAAAATTATCATTCATTTGTTTTAAAAAATTAGCATGGCTACATGGTTCATGGGAGGGAGTGGGAATCGCAGAGGAGATAGGAACTTGCAAAGGGGTGACAGTTCACGACGAGGAGGGGGAAGGAGAAGTGGCGATGCTGAAGATGAAACACCATTTACTTTGTTAGATGCCTCTTGTGCTTATCATGATAGGTTTGGGAAGCGACATTTTGTCATGCCCAAGTACTATTGATTTCCATGTGGTTTGGTGGAGGATCCATCAGATAATCAAACAGGATATGGTTTAGCAAATGCTAGACTTTTGAAGTGGCCCGCACTATTTATAGAGCGAGTGCAAATGGAAAGATTATGTCGGGAAAATCGACTGAAGGTGCCAAAAGCACGTTCTGTTGAGATCCAAAAGGAAGATCCTGATAATGTTGATCAACTATGTGAAAGACTACAACGTGAGATTTCTCAAATGGGCCTTAGGTTAGCTCGCGATATGCAACTACACATAGTTAAGAAGGATGCCCAGAAGAACAGAACAGAACCAAATGTTGCGGCTATCAAGGGTATCATGGAGGATCCTGAACTTGTCTCTGACGCTGACCTTTCGGATTATTCAGACTCTGAGCCACCTGCCGATTTAAGCGCGAATTAGGTGTTAATGTCTACACTTCGGCAATATAACAACTTGCATTAATATGTAATGTCTGTGTTAGACTAAGTGTTTCCGTAATGAGTTTGTCAGATTGTCTGCCTAATATTTGTCTGTCTAACTGTTATGTTTATGTATTGTGTGTTCAGTTCAGGGTGTCTAGGATGTATGTATTGTGCGTTCAGTTCATGGTGTCCAGATTGTATTTTTGTGGGAGACTTATGTCTGTACTACCTATGTAACTGAAAACTGTTACATTTACAACTTCAGTTATGTTGTTTTCATGTATGTATGAGTATTTAGTAAATTAGCGACTTCTTATATTATGTATTAAGTTTTATTACAAAAATATTAACAAAATTTATTTTAGGAGAAATACACATTCTTTTAACTTGTTCATATTCTCAATCGTGAGAACCCAATAATGTAACTATTATTCATTGACTATAACAAATAACGTTCTCATTCTTACAAAACACTACACTACCAATAGCGCTTTCTGAATTTAAAAAAAAAAATATGTTAAAGGCGTGGTTTGCAACCACGCATTCTTAATTAAAAGCGTGATTTTTACTAACACTTTCAATGTTCATCAAATTTTCGGCCCCAAACAGTGAAAGCGTGTTTTGTAATAGCGCTTTAGCCTAGTTTGGGAATTCCGTCCAAACTAGGCCTAGTTTCGGAATTGAGATGATAATTTGGCTTCATATGGGAAAACCCCGAAATATAGTGCACATTAAAAAAATAAATAAATATTTAAAACATAAAATATTTGATTTTGTAAACACTTTGAAATTTTGAAAATTTTTGAAAAGTGATTTTGGATTTTTTTTTTCAAAAAATTTGAACTACAACAAATTTTTAAAAAATTTCTCAAAAATTATATCTTGAGATACAAACCAAACAAGCCCTAAGTTTCAGTTTTCTGAATTAAGTTTTTTGAAAACTGAGTTTTTTGTTTTTAGTGAATATTTTTAAAATTTTAAGAAATTTTTTTTTTAACTTTTTTAGATGCATTTTACTTAGATGTGTTTAAAAAGTAAAATATTTGTAAAAAAATATTTTCAAAAATTAATAAATACACAAAAATATGAAAAATGTAATGAATTTTCGTTTTTTTTTTGTTTGTATTTTTGGTATTTAGTATATTTATGCTAGGTATGTTTAAAAACTTAAAATATTAAAAAATTCAACAAAAACAAAAAAATACGAAAAATAAGAAAATAGAATTTTCTATAAAATGTTTTAGAAAACTCAAAGCAAGCATTACGTTTTAATTTTTATTTTTATTTGTGCTGTAATTTTCTAAAGAGACCCATCTTTGAATGCATTGAAATTGCTGCTCTCTTACTCATCTTTTCATTCCCAAGTCCAACCTTCCCACATGAGAAAAAATAATTAAAAAAAAAAATTTCTAAAACCATTTTTTATTAAAAATATTTGTGGTCAAAAAATATTTATGTTGAAAATATAAATTAAAAAAAATTACAAGTATTAGTTATAACACTACTACATGTAAAAAATTTATGTACATAGAACTTCTCACATGAGGATGGGTCCTACAACATAAATCCCCCCATTGTAGGCTTTTGGGACAAGTATTAGTTATAACACTACTACATGTAAAAAATTTATGTACATAGAACTTCTCACATGAGGATGGGTCCTACAACATAAATCCCCCCATTGTAGGCTTTTGGGACAAGTATTAGTTATAACACTACTACATGTAAAAAATTTATGTACATAGAACTTCTCACATGAGGATGGGTCCTACAACATAAATCCCCCCATTGTAGGCTTTTGGGACAAGTATTAGTTATAACACTACTACATGTAAAAAATTTATGTACATAGAACTTCTCACATGAGGATGGGTCCTACAACATAAATCCCCCCATTGTAGGCTTTTGGGACAAGTATTAGTTATAACACTACTACATGTAAAAAATTTATGTACATAGAACTTCTCACATGAGGATGGGTCCTACAACATAAATCCCCCCATTGTAGGCTTTTGGGACAAGTATTAGTTATAACACTACTACATGTAAAAAATTTATGTACATAGAACTTCTCACATGAGGATGGGTCCTACAACATAAATCCCCCCATTGTAGGCTTTTGGGACAAGTATTAGTTATAACACTACTACATGTAAAAAATTTATGTACATAGAACTTCTCACATGAGGATGGGTCCTACAACATAAATCCCCCCATTGTAGGCTTTTGGGACAAGTATTAGTTATAACACTACTACATGTAAAAAATTTATGTACATAGAACTTCTCACATGAGGATGGGTCCTACAACATAAATCCCCCCATTG